GGCCATCAAATACTAAGTGATGATCATCGATGCCCCAGGATACAGTGACTTCATTAAAAACATAATTACAGATTGCTGTGCTGGTATTGAATCTGATGCTGGTATTTCCAAGAAAGAACAAACCTGTGGGCCCTTTTGGCTCACAAACTGTGTGAAATAGCTCATTGTTGGTTTCAACAATGTAGATTTCATGGAGCCACCCTACAGCTAGAAGACACCAGAACCTACATTAAGAAAATTGGCCATACCCCTGACCTAGTAGCATTTGTACCAATTTCTAGTTGGAATGGTGACAACATTCTGGGTCCAAGTGCCAGTATGCCTTGATTCAAGGAAGGTCACCTATAACTATGATGCTGTAGGTAGAGCCACACTACTGGGAGCTTTGAGTTGTATCCTGCCACCAACTCAACAATTGATAAGTCTGCAACTGCCCCTCCAGGATGTCTATGCAATTGGTGGTATTGTTACTGTCACTGTGGGCCAAGTGGAGACTGATGTTTTTAAACCTGGCATGGGGGTGACCTTTATTCCAGTCAATGTCACAGAACTGGAGTAACGTCTGTTGGAATGCACTGTGAGGCTTTGAGTGACACTCTTCCTGGGGACAATGTGGACTTCAATGTAAAGAAAATATCCTCTATCAAAGATGTTAGATGTGAATATGCTGCTGGTAGCAGCAAGAATGACCCACCAGTGAAAGCAGGTGGCTTCATTGCTTAGCTGATTGACCATTTTAGGCCAAATTAACACTGGCTTTGCCCCTGTATTGAACTGTCATATAGCTCATATAGTATGCAAGTTTGCTAAGTTTACAGAAAAGATTGATCTCTATTCTGGTAAGAAGCTAGAAAATGACCCCACATTCTCAGAATCTGGTCTATGCAGCCATTATTGATATGATTCCAGGCAAGCCCATAGGTGTCAGGAGTGTCTGTGACTATTCCTCCCTGGGTCATTTTGCCATTTGTGCCATGAAGCAGTTTCTGTGGGTGGCATCAAAGCTGTAGACAAGAAGGGTACTACAGCTAGCAAGGGAACCAAAATACCCAGAAAATTCAGAAGACTAAATGAATATCATCCCTAACCCTAGCTGTTCCAATCTTTATTCATGGTGGAGGAATGGACTCAGAACTGTTTGCCTAAACAGCCATTCATGTAATAGTAGAAGGCTAGTTAATGATCTCAGTGTACTGTAAAAACCTTCAGAAGGAAAGGAAAATGCTTTGTGGACCATTTGTGCCTGTGTGTTCAGTTTAAGACAGTATTTTTGTTTGTTTTTGAGATTATAATTAAATGACAGCATTTCTCCATTCCCTTTTCTCCCTCCAAGCCCCTCCTTCCATATACCTCTCCCATTTTCCTTCAAATTCATGGCCTCTTTGTTTCACTAATTGTTAGCACATGTATATATGTATATTATACATGTGCATGAGCACGTGCACAAACACACACACACACACACACACACACACTCCTAAATATAACCTGTTGAGTCCATATAAGGTTACTTGTATGTGTGTTTTCAGAGCTGACTCTTTGACACTGGACAAGCATTTGGTGGGCTCTTCCCTGGGGAGGACCACCTCTCCTCTTCCCAGCCTCACTCAGTTGCCTGGCGTTCTTTGTAGGGTTGAGGCCTAACGGGCTTTCCCCGATTCCGTTTGGCCTATCTATTGGTGTTATCCTTGCTCAACTCACATTTGAGAGGTCATATTGGTGAGATTTTTATGATCATAGCTTCTTCTTCTTCTTTTTTTTTTTTTTTGGTTTTTCGAGACAAGGTTTCTCTGTGTAGCCCTGGCTGTCCTGGAACTCACTATGTAGACCAGGCTAGCCTCGAACTCTCGAACTCAGAAATCCACCTGCCTCTGCCTCCCAAGTGCTGGGATTAAAGGCATGTGCCACCACCGCCCGGCTTTGATCATAGCTTCTAATATTACCAGGAGAAATAAACACACAACAAACTCCCTGATCCTCTGGCTCTTACAATCTTTCCACCCATCTTCTGTGATTTCCCGGATGATGGGTGCAGAAATGTTTTGTAGCTGTATCAGTTGAGACTGGACTCCACAACTCTATATTGTGCTTGCTTGTGGTTGTCCGTAGTTGTTTCTGTCTGTTGTGAACAGAAGTTTCCTTGGTGAGGGGTGAAGACTACACTTATCCATGGGTATAAGGACAAACGTTTACAGATTATTTTCAGGGATCATGTTGGTTTAGTACGTTAGTAACTGTAGATTCTCCTCTACTAAACATGACTTCACTAGCACTGAGTAGTTAGCTAGGTTTCCAGTACTAGGCATGGCATAGTACTCCTGCTGAGTGGGTGTTAAGTCCAAGTAGAGAGCAGTTTGTTACAACTTGATTAAAGGTGATCATCTTGAATGAAAACCTGTCACAGAATTCTGAGAGTCATTAAAACAAGTTCAATGAAAAAATAATTTCTTTTTGAGATAGTAGCCCAAGCTGGCCTCAAACTCCTGATGCCCTGGCCTCTACCTCCCATGGGCTGTGATTACAGGCACGCACCAGGATGCTTAGCTCTACGAACACACCTGAGATTCCTCTCTACCTTTAAATTCTAAACTGACAGTTGTCAATCACTTCTATCAGACACTCCCCCTTGGACTCCTGTACATTTCCTCCTAATTCTTCTAATTGCTATTTTTCATCCTCTTGTTGAGTCACCTGGAAAGGCTCAAGTTATCTTCTGTCCTTTTCTGGGGGTCACCCTCAATGTGGCAACTGACTTTCTCCTTCCCATCAATGACTGACAGACCCCTATCATTCAGCTCTATGATGGCAGCTAGACGCCATTACAGACCCACATATGTCTCAAGTATGCTTTTGAATCTTTGGCGATTTCAGGGAGTTTTGTATGTTGTGGTTTGTTTTATGTTTTATTTTAGGGTGTAAATTGTTTTGTTTGTTTTGTAATTTGAGTCTTACTGTGTATCTCTGGCTACCTTGAAAGGTGCTATGTAGACCTGGCAGGCTTTGAACTTGAGTGAATCCTCCTGCCTCTCTGAGGACTGGGAATGCAAATGTGGGCTGTCAAACCCAGCACCTCTCTTAAAATGTCTATGCCTTTGTTTCTTTCAGATTCTACTGGATACGGTTTTGTTAATATTTGAAATGCCTTTCAAATTTGACTGTTTCTGGAATCAGCCATTGCTTCTAGTCTGGTCTAGGCTGTCACTAGATCTTAATCTCTGAGTTATTACTGACTGAATTTACAGATTTCAGCTACTTTCTGACATCATGTCATAAGAGTTACATTGCTACTGGCTTTAACTTGTACTTCCCCTCCTCATACAGTATCCTCCGTGTCACCACCGTTGTGAAGAGGACCGCCTGCCTAGTCTCCCCCAAGAGCTCCTTCTCAGCTGGTTTCCTCATTCAAAGTGCTGTTTTTGTCTTAGGTGTTTTTGTTTGAGGCAAGTGTTGCCCAGACTATTTCAGAATGTAGTCAAGGATGACCTTGACTTCTGGTCCTCCTGCCTCCACCTTCTGAGTGCTGGGATTATAGGCATATGCCACTATACTGGGTTTATTTGGTTCTAGGGATGAAATTCAGGGCCTTGAGTATGGTAGACAAGCAATTAAGCTGCACCCCTGCCCTATGCCTTAGTTTATAACGAAAAAGTTTAGGAAGTGGGAAAAAATAAACTTAAAATAGAAAACTAGAAGAGACTTCGTGCCTTTTCACAGCTCTCTGGAGTTACCTTTATAACTACAGCTTCCATTCTTTATTACTCCAATACAAACCCCACCAAGCCCAGCATTGCTCACCACTCAACTTCAAAGTTTGTCTGTTGAGCAAACATTATTTGCAATATGATTTTCTATGAGATATTCTTAGACAGCACAACGTTATGGGTAAGAGTCCTAATTAACTGTTCTAGAATGAAGTTTGAAGAAGAAAAAGGAGGAGAGGAGGGATGAAAGGCGGGGAAGGAAAGGGAGAAGGGGTGGGGGAGAAGTCTCTTATGAACTTGGGCAAGTGCCACCTCTCTGAGTCTGCTGTTTTAGTGGCAGCATGGGGATCTCTCTCTCTCTCTCTCTCTCTCTCTCTCTCTCTCTCTCTCTCTCACACACACACACACACACACACACACACGTTCAAGGCTATCTAAGAGAATTAAATGAAACTATACAAAATGCTGTGGCACCGTGCCTTAAGCACACAAACACGCTAAATAATTTGTGGTTATTTCTGGGCTTAGTGCCTAAAAAATGAAGAGATGGGTAGATGAGAGGTGACTGAGGTCTTTCCAAACATCCACAAATTCTGGATCCTCTGTCTACTGTGCCAGGGAAATGTTGGCAACCTTCGCATTCCAATCAGCTTCTTAGAAAACCAATCAGGACTTGCAAAGCTCCAGGTGAGCCTCGGCGTCTTTCCAGAGGGTCATTCATCTGTCCTCATTTCTTATCGGAGCCGCCACCTTCTTCAAATCACCACCAGGCTGGACATCCATTCTTTGTTGGAAAATCTTGGCTCCAAAGCTCACATTTGGGCGCGTGATACCCCTGGGCCCGCGGTTTCTGCTCAGACCGCGCTTTCCAAGTTTAAAGAAGGTACTGAGATCTCGACAGGTGTAGTTTACCCTCCAGCCTTCGCTCCACACAACCGAGAACGTGCTTTGGACCTACGCGGGGCTCCAGAGGCCAGAGGGACGCGAGGTTTGCCTCTGGGCGTAGAAATGGGGTGCCAAGAGCGTCTGGCACGCGCGCTGGCTCTTACTTCCTGATCCTGGGCGCGGCCGCTCAGAGCGCAGGGTCCGGAGCGAAACCAGGCGCTTCTCCTGCAGTGGGCGAGCGCCCCCGTCCCGGGTCCCGAGCTGCGGGCCTGCTCTGCGGCGGCGGCAAACCCCCGCCCGCGGCGCGCATCCCTGACCCGGCCCCGCCCCCGGCGGCCGCCAAGTAGCGGGCGGAGCGCGGAGAGGCGCGCTGGGCTGTGCGGCGCCGCCTCCCCTCCGCGCCGGGGGAGGGACGAGGGGCCGCGCGGGAGTCGGAGAAAGCCCGAGCGAGCGGCTCTCGGAGAGCTGCATGCAACCGGTGGGAGGCCGACCCGGCTGGCGCTGCGGCTCGGGCGGGGAGCGCGGACCGGCCGGCAGCGGCGGCGGCGGCGGCAGCAGCAGCTCTGAGCTGGCAGGCGGAGGGCTTTCTCCCGCGCCCGCCTGCCCGGCGCGGTCCGAGGATGCGGGGGGGCGATGCCCGGGGCCAGGGACGCGCTCTGTCACCAGGCGCTGCAGCTGCTGGCCGAGCTCTGTGCCCGAGGGGCCCTGGAGCACGACAGCTGCCAAGATTTCATCTACCACCTGCGGGACCGTGCCAGACCCCGGCTCCGCGACCCAGGTAAGCACCGCCGCCGCCGCTGCCGGTCGCGACCCGAGGGCCCTGAGATGGGGACTTGGGAACCTAGCCAGGGCCTGAGGCAGGAGAGCGACACATACTGGAGGAGGGCAGTGGGTGACCATTGAACCCAAGTAGGTCTCCACAAGCAGCACACCATGGCCTGATGCTGGAACCCGGCGAACTCGGGCGGAGGCTGCTGCGCGGAGGCCGAGCCAGGGTAGGCTGGGGCAGGCTTGGAGGAACCACGCCCGCCACCTGCGCTCGGCTCCTGGGGGCGGCTCCTGAGCTCCGGGCTGCGCCCGCCACTTCACTCAGCGGCGCCCAGGAGCCAGGGGAGGCCGCGGAGGCCTCGGAGCTGGCAGTGGGATCTGAGAGGCAAGGAAACTCTGGGAAGTTGGGAGTTTGGTACAGCTGGGCTGCAGCTGATTTCCACCCGGAGCTGCTCAACCTGAGTGCCCAGTTCCTCCCCTGGCAATATAGTGAAAAGGACCACACAAGATCTTGCGTGGGGCCGGGCCCCAGAGCCACACGTCTAGAGCAGCTGGGCCTGAACCCTTTCCTTGCATGTCTCAAGGTGTTGAGGCGCCGAGGCCTTGGCTCCCAGTTTTTCTCGCTGTGATAGCCTGGCACATTCGAGTGGTGGGCTTGCTGCAGCTGGCAGTTGTCCTGGTGAAAGTTGTGAGGCTCCTAACTTTGGAAAGTTCACTTACTTTGGCATCTGACCAGCTAAGGTCAGAGGAAGGTGTTTTATTTGAGCAGTTTGCAAGTCCTACTGTCTTCTTACTCATGCACTGGAAAGATGCATTCATTCCTTTTAGATATTTCCTGAACATCTTCTAGGCTGGAGGACTCATATGCTCGAATATTTTTCCAATCTGAGTGTTTTAAATGTTAAAAGGCAAATCACGATTAGACTGTTAAAAAAGGGATGAAAGAATGGCCTTTGCCTTGATGTTCCTGTGTGTAAACATTGGCAATAAGCTACTGCTGTGCAAACGAGTAAATATGAACATTTCTCATTTCAAGCGAGTTCATTATATAAAAAATACATTTACAAGGATAAAGAGTTACTTGACTCTTAACTAGGAACAGGCCGTTTTAAATAGCATACCTTTAATAGGACATGCTCAGTGTGTGTGGCAAAGGCAGGTGTTAAAAGTTTGTCACATTTTTCTGTACTCAAAGGATCTATTTTTCATGCTGTGGTTACGTTAGTAAGTTTCTCAAATGATCTCTAATGTTTTACTCCAAAGGGGAGAATTAAGTGGAGAAATACAGATTCCAGTGATTTCCCAGGAGACTCGGTTGTCCAGCCTCTGGGTGGCTCCTTGATGGATGAGCATGTGCCCCACAGACCACAGATATAAATGGGAGTGCCTCACCTCCCCACAGGCATCCCAGAAAAATGCCTAGTTTGTGGGTATTCTGTGCTCACATATCAGGACCAAGCCCATTATTAACACACTTTTTCCAAAGCTCATGTTAGTGCTGAAACCTCTCTTCATGTTCCTGCCGCTGAGCAGCAGATTTTCCTTGTTATCTCAGACAAGTTGTCATCTTCAGCTTTACAAGAGATGGGAGACGCAGCCTCTCTCTGAATTGGGCTTTAAACATGCCACATCTCTCTGGTCAGTTCGTTCTCTCTCTCTCTCTCTCTCTCTCCCTCTCCCTCTCCCTCTCCCTCT